AAAAAAAAAACAGAGAAAAAAAGGTGGTCGCTTGCGTTTCTTTTGTTCTCTTTTGTTCATTTTTTATTTTGTTTCCTTTGCCTGAGGAAATATAGCCGGGAAACAAGTGGGACTACATCAAACAAAAGCTGTACAGCAAAGGATCCCATCAGCAGGGCAAAAGGCATCCTACAGTATGGGTGAAACAATTGCTCATACTTATATTCAAGAGATTTTTGCTTATGTTTTCTTCTAAGAGTTTATGGTTTCATAACTTACATGCAGGTCTTTGATCCATTTCTAGTTTACTTTTGTGCATGTAGTTGTCCAGTTTTCCCAACACCTGTTGTTGAAGAGACTTTTCCCTACTGTACATTCATGGGTTCTTTATTGTATATTAATTGACCATATATGCACCTGTTTATTTTTAAATGTGTATCAGACACTGTGTACCCCCTACCATGTCTCCAAGAGATACTTCCCTCTTCTAAAATGCCCCCTTTTCTTTCAGAAAATATATGTTTCCACAGCTGCTACCTCTGGTCCTGTGTCCTTTCCGAGCCCCTTCCTTTCATTCCCCAGGATCCAATACTCTGATGCATCAAGCTTCAGACATGTTCTCTGTATTTTCCTACTCAGGGTGGCACTTGTCCTTGTGGGGAAACCTTAGTTGATATTACGTGTTCTCTAACTATTATAATGCTGTCATGCTCTCCTCTCTTTTGCTTAACCCTTGCCTCACTCCCCCTTTCTGGTGTGGGCTTCTGAGCTGATGTTTATTTCTTCCACTTACACCTAGAGTTTGTATTTTCTTTCTCCTAGATATGTTGAAGGAGTGGGTTATTTCTTGTCCTATTAGAACTAAAAATAACACATATTTTTAACTTTCAGATAGAATTACTTTTTAGTTAACCTTTTACTGTGAATTTCTAATTTTATTACATTTTGCTTAGAGAAATAGTCTAACATTTCAATTCTTTGGAAATTGAGAAAGTTTATTTATTTTTTGTATGTTCCATATGCTTTCTATATTCACTTGAGTCTAGCAATCATATTAAGCAAATCTTCTAGACTTTTATTTTTTGATCACTCTCTGAAAATTAAAATCTACTACAATCAATGTGGTCACAATATTTTATCCATATTTCTGTAAGTTGTTTCATGTATTTTGAAGCTATACTGTTAGGTGTTTGTATGTTCAAGTTCATTCTTTGACCTTTGTTCCCTTACCAGTATAAAATGTCCTTCTAATTCCTTGTTTTAGACTTTGATTTTTATTTTGTCTTGTTACTTTGCCTTAATGTTTACATAATACAACTATATCTTGTTTTGTAGCTTGTCTTTCCTTTTGGTTAGAAGAGGCTGCCCAACCTCTAGGTTATATGTATTCTCTTGTTTTCTTCTTAAATTTATCTTATTTTTCTCTATTGCTAATGATGACATGTGTAACTACGACAACACACATTTATACCAAATAAAGCTTGATTTTAATGACACATTTCCTTAAAATTAGAACAAAAATCCTTATGCTTCAGCTCCTTACCCTTGACTCCTGAGAGCATTCTGAGTCCCAGCCACTGTTACTTAGCTGTAGAAAGCTCCAAAAGGCAAAGATATAAAAGTTAGCTTGCTGTTTCCTCGGTTTCATAATGGCTGACCAGAAGTGCCTCTGGCATGTTGAATTAAGGAAAATCTTAACACAAAGGAACATTTTTGGAAGCCATTGGTATCTGGTGCTGGCATCTAAAGAGGTAGTTGTAGACAAGCAGAAGGAAAAAAAATGTGCTTTGACTAAAGAATGAGGGGGACAGACAGGAGAGGTTCAGTTGGATGAAGGTGAAAACAGGACAGATGACAGAAATATAAAGATCAAGACGGCAAATTTGGTTTTAAAAGAACACTAATGGTGTTCAGTGAAGAGAGATGTGATGCTGCTACAGGGATGAGAAAGGTGAATCTCAATGTAGAGTGAAAAGGGGAAAAAAGCAGGAGAAAAGTTTAAATGGGTCCACCACAGAAAAGGCCATGTTCTAACTCTGTCAGAACCAGATTTTACTTCATAAAAACTGAAGGAGAAACAAGGTATAAATATATTGTCAATGTTCTATGGCATGTAAAAAGGCAAGAAAAAAGGTGTAGCAATACTGGGAACACGGCCCAGTTTTCGAGGAGGTTGAGATGCATAGTTGCGGTCCACTGGCGGCATTTTGAAATGGAAGTGAAAATTCTATCTTGCAAAATAAAAGAGATTAGGATGAGGAGATGTTTTTCTAATTCTATATTTTTAGTTTTTAAAAACACTGTTTCTATAGCTTTGATATTTTTTGGCTTTTTGATTAACTTGCAGGTTATTTTTGTTCTGAACAAAGGGGATGAAAAGCTGTGTTTGCTCCCATTCATGGATCTAATTAGGCATGTTGCTCGATCTATAATAAATCACGAATTCAGTTTTTCTTTGTTAAGGTAGTCAGAGGCCTTCAGGCATGAGTGACTTATTAAAATGTACTCTCATAGTTGGGGATGCATTATCACTTTGATATTGTCAATCGCTTGATAATTTTATGTCCCCAAAGCTCTCCCTTGGTTGTTTTGTACTACACAAAGATGACATTTTATTCTCATATTTGTTCACAGACATAATTTACTTTTGCTATCTAGTGAATAAGGAAATATTCTAAATTCAGCAACAGTGCCAGTTTGACTAAAAAAAGTTATTTTCCATATCCACAAAAATGTTAATCAGATTCTTGTTAGAACATGTGTAAGAAGTGGTTTTCATTGTCACAGCTCTTGATGTCAGATTACTAAAATAATTTATGTTTTGTTGTGGGAACATGGGTACATGCAGAACCTCCCAAATCACATGACCACTTCTCAGCCCACACTTCTTTATAACACATAGAAATTATTTGTTTTGTGGTAATGAATGAATGGCAGGAATAGCAGAATTTCAATGTGGCTGTTCTTTATTTGATTAAATATAGTCTCTATTTATTCTTAAAAAAAAACTAATTTAAGTTAAACGGCAATAAACCATGATAATTTAGAAAACATGTTGAAACCGAGAGTGAAGAGAAATGTTCTCTACGTAAACCACACTGTAAACCATAAAACTTATTTTTGTCAACTGCTTCTCATGACAGTGGCTGGGAATCTGACATTTCTACTACAGTAGGCAAAAAACCATGTAAGATATACTCTCCCACATACCACATCACATCTCTATTTATATTTCCAAACTTAAAGCATTACAGCCAAAAAATGTGCTGAGTGCACTGTGAACATTTACACCAAGAGCTATAAATTCACGTGAGCATTACCTTAAACTGGGGTATTTGTGCGGCAAGGCGGCTGTTGGCACCCCCTGCCCCCAAGCCATACTTCATGGCACAGGCTTGGCTGCCCAAGAGGAAACCATTCTCTGTAAAATCCAAAAGGTGGTGACCTTTTCAATGAACCCTGGTCAACATAAGACAAAAAAAACTATTCTTGAACAGATTATGAAACCCAATTGAAGCATCCATATGATAGCTTTCATTATCACTTATCCACTTCAAAATGGTCAGCAGCTATTCAACTACTTAAGAAAATGAGTTTTGTAAAAATTTATGTAGTTGAAGGTATTTTAAAACTAGGAAAGGGACCTTTGATAATCTATTATGGTAAACATGAATGTGACAGAAACATGGCTAATTCTCTAATATTATCTGAGATATACATTACACAAAGCTGACTAGATCTCAGAAGTTTTTTAATAAAAACTTCCTCTTTCCGCTTTAAAGATCATAAGAAGTCAGTGCACTTCAGTTCTCCCTGCAGAAAGGGCATTTAGTTTGGGATGTAACGTTTTAAAATAATAATACAAACCTTCTGGGAGAATACCACAATAAATGTTTCAAAAACCACTCAGTTAATCCCAGGGTATAATCCGGCTGTTTTAAATTACTACAGGGAATATGATGGGCCTTAATGACACTGTAACTGCATAAAGCCAAAGAAAGCTAGAAAGATTGGCCAAAAAGATGAGCTCAGAGCCAGCTGAAGTGACAACAAACATGTGGCTGTTTACTAGGATTGGAGAGGTTTAGTCTACAGATGTTTGTGGTCTCTAGAAGGTTCCAGAGGAATGAGTTATTATGAAGATTTGCAGGGTTTGATGAGAGCAAGATCCTTCCTGGAGATGGCAGGCCCCAGACAGGGAGGCCTCATGGTAGAGACAGAATTTATAGATTTCTGTGGTCAGATCATACTCTACTGGTCCCACAATGTACATCAACAAATTAATATTGTACGGATGTCATTTCAAAGTATCCTAAAGACGAGAGTCATTATTGAAGCCATTAGAGCACAGATGGTTCAAACTATATGCAGATATTCATACTTGCATTTTTGCATTATAGCTGGTTTTTTTTTTTTTCTGTTGAACTGTAATGAATTGTCTCATAATCTATTCCATCTTCTTGCCATTAGCAGGCTTTGAATGTTCACAAATAGGAGCAAAGAACTCATTTTCCAGAGCTTTAATCACACAAAGAGGGAATGCCTAATTCTCTAAATGAAATGGTCTGTGATCACTGAAGCAGAGATTTAATATATCACGGCAAATTAGGTAGATTTTAATAAATTAGTTATCTCCCTGAATACTTTACATATGCTTAAGAAGGAACATTGCCTGTTTGCAAACAGTGAAAACCCAAGCCTATAAAAATCCTTTGAAGAAAATGACAAATAAAAAAGTAAATTAAAAAATGAAATGCATTATATCCTAGACCTCTAGAGACAATTCCTTTGCAGCATTGATTCACAGCTCCATTAAAAATATCAATTAAATCCTTCAGTGAGACTGGGTAAAAGCTAGAAAATTAACTTTCTGAGCTGCTTTTTGAGGATCTGGTTATCCAGATACACCCCAGCATTATACTGGCTCGATGTAAATTTAAAAAATGATAAAAAGATACTCTTTTCATGTCTAACTAAGCATATCAGAATTTGAGTCAGATTTTTAATAATTTCTAAGTCATAAGCTAAGTTTTCAAAGTGTAAATTTCATGTATGTATATATATATACACACACACACACACACACACACACACACATATATATATGTATCTGTCTATCCCCATTTTATATATACACATCTCTGGGTCCCATATCACCATTACAAACACATGAAAATAATACAAATTTGAAGAACTGTAATGTTTAAGAAAGAAAAACAAAAAACTTGCAGTCATTTAATAAGTTGGTGCCAAGTCTCATTCTTTATATTTAATTGATAGAAACTGCATGCATCAAAGAAAATGCATAGTGAGCTTTAATGTGCATAAAATGGATATTAGCATTTTAAAGAGGAAGATTAACACATTAATCCAAGTAATTTTCATATATTGCTTCTAATAAAATCTTCACAGTATAAAACTCTTAATGAGGCTAATCACAGGCCTTCCATTTAGTGGGATAATTAGGGATAACATTAGGGATAAAGTATTTCTTTCTTCACAGGTTGTCGAAGACTTATCCTTTTTACTTATTAAAAATAAAAATGGGAATTGCATTTCAATTCTTCCTGTGAAAATGTTGAAAATGCAAAGACTTTCTCATGCTATCAGGTATAAATTATTGAGAAGGTATTGCCCATTGTGGAGAACTTAAGTCCTGAGGGGTGGCAGTCACGGGAAGGAGGGAGTAGAAAAATAAACAAATGAAAAAGTATACAAAAATTGAACACATCAAGCCCAGGCCCTCCCCCTCCCAGCTTCCCATGAATTATAGATTATATACATCAGGGTAATTAGGAAAATCTCATCTAAGAGCTTTTATGTGATCATTTACTCAGGGGTAGGAGATGCCTCTGGAGCAGTTTCTTTCATGCCTTCAAGTCATCTTTGTATTGCTTGTAGACAGACCGTAGGGCATGGAGGGCTTTGACTGTTACCCTGAGCTTGCCAATACTTCCGCCATCTGCTCGTGCATCAAAAACTAGGCAGAAAATAGCAGAAAAGTGTTAAAATAATTCGACAGACATTTTTTCAGGTAGGCTAACTGGAATAGTAGTTGTAAGATGAAAACAGCTCTATGAAAGTCCAAAGTTCATTGGCACCTCAGAAATCTAAAAATTAAAGCATGTCATATTTGTATGAAAGTACACATTTTATATGTATTGCATGTATGTATATATATTGCTTGTAGAGTTAAGACTAATGATCTAATCCTGAAGTTTACCTAGAGAATAGGCTATAGGATAACAATTCTCACACACAATCAGCATTTCTAAGCTAGGAAGAAATCAAAAGTCTAAAAGGGATCAAGATACAACAATGAAGAATTTGTTCTAACATACATGTTAGTAACATATTTCAGAATGGCAAACCACTGTAAAGAAGTTACATGATAATAATTTAGATTGGTTATTTATCTTTCTAAGGAAAACATTCCATTTTAAAATAGATTATATGTGAAATTAGAAAAAGTTAAAATGGCAGACTGGATCTTAAGGTCTATGGATTGGCTTTTAGGGTCCATGACCTGATGTTGAAGGAAAGTAGATGTAAAATTTTGAGTGGGTGTGGGCTTTTCTTGGAAAGCAGCCACAGTTTTCAGTGGTTACCAATGGCAGACTGTTTGTCAGAAGCCCTGGGCTTTGTCTGAGCCTTGTGGTGGCAGGTGGATGGGATGCTGATTCAGTTTGTGGGACCCCATCCCTCTGTGGACAGTGATACTTGCTAAAGACTCAAGGCCAGAATCCTGGACTGTGTAAGTTGGATAGCACTTATGAGTCTATATATTTTCCTTTTAAATTCCTTGTTGTTTACCTTGAACTTTTAGTGTATGTGTGTTTGTGTGTTTGTGAATTTGTTTACTTCTAAGAAAACTGTAAGGAACCTTCAAATAGAATTGGGTTAACAAAGATTTAGGTGGAGAAATGAGCTGGCAGAGAGATAGCAGGACACAAGTGGTCCCAAGCTTACTCGCCGAGTTTTCACTCCTTCTGTGGGACTTCTCACTTCTGTGTCTGGCACAGAACAAAGCATTAAAATCCTGATCTGACCAGTGTTTAATTTTCTGACTCTTTCCCAAAACATGGCTATACCAGCTGTCTGTCAGTTCAGTGTATGGTCCTGTGTGGTCTTGCAGAACAAGAAGATGGGTTGTTAAACAGAACTAACTGGAGAATATAATGTATAAATAGGTGATTTTGGACATTTTTGTCAGAGTCCATTCTGGTTGTCTTTAATAGGGTTTAGGTTAATATTTTAATCCTCTCTTTTTCTTTTGTGCCTGCAGAAGAATTAGTGACTAAACAAACCATGTACATCGTTTCCAGAGATGGCTCTACTAACTTAATGAAACTAGCACTCAGCCTCATTTTTCCATTTATTGCGTAAAGGCCAGACTATCCCTGATGATAATTTTTAAAAAGTATGATTCATTAAGTGTAATTCCTTCAGTATGTCCTAATTAAGTTATGTAAAAATAAAGGGTAGAAATTAAGCATTGTTGGGCCCCACACCTGGTGAGGTGAAAATCCAGGAGAGCACATTTTATCAGGAAGCCTTTAGGCCTCCCCGAATCCTGATGGGAAACAAGTGACCAAAACTACAGAGTTATCCATGGTGACTATATCGTTGGGTTGTAACACTGAATTAAAGGGAAGCCTTGCAAAAGCCACCGTAACGATCACTCAGAACTACCTGCCTTAGGTGAACCAGGCTTGACAGCACCAGGCTTTCATAAACAACATTTAAAAAACCCAATGGCGCTGATGGACAGTGACTGTAATGGGGTGTGTGGGGGGGACTTGGTGAAGGGGGGAGCCTAGTAAACATAATGTTCTTCATGTAATTGTAGATTAATGATAACAACAACAACAACAAAACCCCCAATGGGCAAACTTTTATCACCTCTCTACCCCCAGTACTAACAAAATGAATAATCCCTTGTGAAATGCAATTAAGTATCTTAAAATTTCTGTTGACTGAAAGGAAGGCAAAGGGGAGGGCATGGAAGAGATCTAAGGAGAGACTTCCAGCTTCATCAAAAAGTCAGCCTGAGTTGTAAAAAATTCAACTAATGTGTGACTCAACATCCTTGCCAGGAAAAAGGTTTTAATAAAGAATCTGGATTTCAGCAATTGCTGCTTGTACAAATTGAGCAATACTTCCACCATACCATCGATATTTTGCTCGATGATGTCTCTCCCTTCCTGAAACATGTCAGCTAGGTTAATGTTAGCAATGCCTATGTCCTCGCACTCCAGATCCTGCTCATCCTCTGGAGGGTCACTGACCACAGTGAAGCAGACACTGAGAAGGAAAAGAACCAAGAAAATCACCACAAAGTGAGAAAAAATCACCATAAAACAGAACTCCCGAAGGGGTTTTTAATCACTAAGTACGAAATCTCAAAATTTCCAATTATTTCAATAAAAAGAAAATTACATTAGGTTAGATAAGTCATTATATTAACTGTTGGAATTATAGCACACCCAGCCTTCCAATGAACATTAATCCACTTTTCTAAGCACCGATTCACACTTATCTCTAGAATCTGAGAAAATTACATGCAAAGAGAAGAACCAGATGTTCACTCTATTACACATTATCTGATGCTTTGACACATCTACTTTTAAGGCTAAAGGATCAAGTGAATAAAGACCATGGAGGTTAAGGAAGCATTTTCAACAGAAATGCAACACTTTCTATAGAAACACATGACTTTGGAATTGCTGCTAAGCAATTTACTCATCTGTATGTGTTCTATAAAATGCAGAGATCATGCTCCCTGGGTAGCATTCTGAATCATGTTAGATAAATGCTGTAGCTCTGCCCAACAGCTATATGAAACATTTGTATTACTTCAGCAACCTCTTAACTTAAAATCATAGCATCCAAGTTTTACCTTACTTTTAGAAACATAATTGTATGGCTCTGATGGAACTGATTTGAATTAGTGGCTTGTGTTGAGGCCAAACACACTTGGATTGACCAAATGACAGGAATTTACAGTTAAGGACTCTTCTAATATGTCTTGGCAGCATAGCTTAAACCATGGATGCTTGTAAACTACCATTTTAACCATTTTCAAAATGTTACCCATCTCAAATCAGAAACAAAACAAGAAATTCGTGCCTTTGATAACAGTCTTAGATAAAAATCTAAGTCTCTGGGAAATCATGCCTTGAAAAATATGCACAAATAAAATCCTTTCCAAATTCTTATAGGTGAACATGACAGAATTTTTAACTAATTAGCTGAAAATAAGTATTCAATATTTCATTCCTTTACTAAGTCCCTGTTTTTAGATAACAATAAATTTTGAGTAGAAAATAGAAATCCCTTAAGTTAAAACCAAAGGTAATAACTATTTACAAAGTAATTATGAAGAGTGCAAGTGGTTAAGTTGGCTATTTTATCTGATGCATGAAATGGAGGGATTAAGATAGCGTGGTTAAGGGCATCCACTCTGGGTTCAAATTTCTGCTTTCCTCCTTATTAGCTGTGTGACCTTGGACAAATTACTTAACCTCTCAGATCTCAGTTTACTTACCTGTAGAATGGGGATAACTTTACCTTTTCACAGGGCCCTGGGGAGGATCAAATGAGATGACACATGTAAATAGTACCTGGAACTTAGTAAGCTGAGTAAATGTTTGCTCTTTTATTATTACTATTTTAAATTTAGGTAGAGCTGCTTAAGCTTCTACATTTCAAAGGGGAAATAAAAAAGGCATGGAAAGGCTTGTTCCAACTGAAAACTGAGATTCCCAAATTATACAATGATTATGTCACTCAATTAAACAAGAATGATGATGAAAGAAATTGTCCTAAGATGAATATGCTTGGAAGGGTAGGAATTACAAGTGATATTTTATGCACACATTGTATTCACAAGATTTACAGAAAAGACAGAGCTACACAGATTGTAGTAATAATGTTAAGTGTCATCCTTATATAATGTTTCATATCTAAGGATCATATCACTATCACTGTATAAATGCAGACTATTGCCACTGAATATAGGAGAATTCTGAGACAAAGAGAAAAATAAACCCTTCTAAATGCCAGAGCAAGGGCTAGAAACAAAAAATGTAATATTTCTGGCTTTAAATTCTACACAAAGCAAAATGAGATGTCAAATAAAAAATTAGGAAACTCTAAAGTTAAGCTAAAAAGGGAGGAGGGTATATATCAAAACAATTTTAAAACTACAATTTGGCTTAAGCTAAAATATATATACACATACAAATCTTACATCTTACCTTTAACCCTGCCAAAACAAGAGGTGAAAACCTTGCTTCATGTCCTGCAGAGGCTTACTGTCTAGTCTGAGGACCTGGATTTACACAGGGGGTACAGGCCAGGTACCCAAGTGGAGGTAAAAACAGGAAGTGCCACATGAGCTTTTCTGTCTCCGCTCTCTTTTCAGCGAGACCTGGACTTGCTAACCTCCCCGGCCAGGTCCCAGAAACACATCTCTGTACATTCCTTCATGGCTGGAATGATCTTCTTAAGCTGTTCATGACTTGACTGGGTCCTCTCATCCTTCACTAACCAGCTTAAATGTTATCTCCTCAGGCTTGCCCTATTATTTTCTATTTTAGCAACGTGTTTATCTCAGTACTTATTGTCATATGTGATTGGCTGTTTACTTGTTGTCTGTCTTCCTCATTGGGATGTGAACTCCATGAACAGAGACTTCACTTCATTCACCATTTTAGCTCCTGAATCTTATGTAGGGGATCATAAATATTTGTTGTATTACTGTGTGAACTGCAAAATGGAAAGCCCTGTTGAAGTCTGGCTCATTTGGGGAAGGTTTTTTGGAGAAGGCAGGCATTAAGATTTATTTAGGAAATCGGAAGGCACTAAACACCTTAAATCATTCAACATTTTTGATTTTTCTTTCATTCTGAGATCGTGCATTTTTATACGAAACAGGACAGAAGAGCCTCAGGGTCATCTCTGAGTTTTACGCAGTAGACTGCTGATGGTCATGGTGGATCTGCTCAAAAGAACACTGTTAAGCAGAAGAAATGAAACCCAAAAGGAACCTTAAGTCAGTGTCCAAACTATAACTTCAAATAAATAATTGTTAAAGTCTCATATCAATGTGCTGCCTTTTTTCAAGTTGACACTTTGTATATTTGTCTATCTGCAGATATAGCAGGGGGCAGGATGCAAAGGTACTATATATAATTCATTATACAATGTACATAATTTTTGTGCATGTCAAGGAAGACTGGCCGAACTTCTCTCACTGTGGTTTTGTAAGTTATCACCAATATTCAAGAGGGTTGCTGTCTGAGAAAATAAATTTTTACAACTAGGAAATACTTTAAATAATGTGAAGTACTGTGACCTCTGAGTATTTAAAAAAAGGTGAGAGCATTCACTGGACTAAGAATTGCCAGGGAAAATGTAAATGTAAACTTATTTTTTCCATTAAGAAAATGGTACTGTCAAGGGAGCCAAGTGGGACAGGGCCATCCGCTCCCGTGGCGGGCAGAGGAGTGCACAGCAGGGCACTGCAAGCATGTACCCAGCTGCTATCAGTCCCAACTCGCTTTGCACCTGTAGGGCCTCTCCCAGTTTTTCTCCAAAGCAATATAAGTATTTGTGTCTCTGTGAGGTGTTTACAGAGTTTTAGGGAAACAATTATGAGAGAGTAGGATTGTTATAGTTATTGTGAACTTGCTTTTTGGTACAAGTAAGTAGGTCCTCTGAGGAAAGGCAGGTCAACAATTTAAGCAGAATCCGCCTTTTAAAAAATAAACACTTTTGAGGAAGGAAACAAAACTGCTCTCCCCCAATGAGGAGTGCTTCTAATATGTTCTAACAGTCCAGGAACAAAGTGAACAAGGAGGTAGACATGTAAAATTGAAAAGATTGGCAAGTCCAGCCCAGGGCTTGTCCACAGGAGCAGAGCTGCGTCCTGGACAGTGATGACCCAGCTTGTTGACTGCAGAGAAGCAGATGACATGGCTACTGCTGTTCCATAACCAGTGAGCTGCGATAATCTTGGGGGACTGGTGGTATGTGAGGGGCCTTGGAAGAAGCTGAGGTTTACAAAGTATTTAAGTAAAACTTGAGTGATTATCTACCATCCTGGGAAAACCCGAACCTTAGGCTAATTAACAGGGTTTTACCTTCTCTTCTTCAGAACTAAGATCCAAAGAAATGAATGTATGTATATTTCAAGGAGTTAATGAAAAAGCTACTATCTCAGATCCTTAGAGCTAAGAATCCAGTTTCCTTTCTTGAAACAGAGGATCAAGTGGTGGTTTGGAAGCTCTTTTGAAAAATATTATGCCTTTAACGTTCACCTCATGACTTCTAGGAAAGAATTTAGAAGGTGGTGGTAGTAAGCTCCATTTTTGAGGCACTGAGAGGCTGTGTAATTTATGGGCCATAAAGACAGGAAGAAGAGGACAATGGAGAGATAAGGGGTCCATCAGGCCAAGCCAGGGAACACAGGAAAGGGGCACTGGTGAAACCCAATTCAGGGGTTAATGGGCAGTACTTAGAGAATTCCTCAAACTAGGTGGATGGGAGCTCATACAAAAGCATGTTTGATATCAGGGGTTTTTCCTTTTCAAAAGGGTATAATTTCACTACTGAACCAGGATTGCCAAGTGTTCTGTTCAAATTTGCAAAAAAGAAAGAAAAAAAGAAACGATCAATTATTACACAGTGATAGTACGGTAAAACAGTCTGAAAGGCTGATGAGTTATTACCAATAATATTGCTATTACTACTACTTACAATGATTGCCATTAGCACTTATTGTGCACTTAACTATGAGTCAGGTACTATTCCATCCACCTTACATATATTATCTCATTTTATCCTTATAGTAATCATATATAGTATTACTATCTCCATTTTACAAACAAATAAAATAAGGCACAGGGTGGTTGTCCAACGTCAGACAGCTCGTAAGTGATTGAACAAGACTTTATACTCAAACCATTGATTCCAGAGTGCATCCTCCTTGTGCTCTTTACAGTCATGCTTGAATGGCAATGGGATTGCAAAACACTACAGGATCTTTACAGATACTCTGAAGGCTAGGCAGGGCTACTCTACTGCTAGAAGGAGAGAGACTAGAGAGGTCACATACTTATTCAAGGACATGAATAAATCAGAGAAGTCTGGTATTCCGAATCCTCATTTTGTGCTTTTTTTCGTCACACCATGCTATAAAGATCTGCTTTATACAAGCCATCAAGATAATTTAGAATGCTTAAATATACCTTCTATTGGGCATCTCTTGTTTTAGTAGTATAGCTTTTAAGATGTCTCTCTTTGCTTGGTTGTTTTCTTTATCCATGTAGATCACTACACCAAAAAGAAAAAAAAATCCATAAAAGGAAGTCACTCAGAAATATGCTACCATTAGTACCATTCTGTATTTGGATAAATACCTGTTTTTAGAGGGGCAAGTCATGCCACCTCACTTGTACACCTGGGAAAAGCAAGCAGCTCTGGAAACCAGAATCAAATCTGAATAGTCATGTGATCTAATGTCATGTCACTGGCAGGTTTATGTGCACACTGTCAGAAAAGATACAAGCAACATCTGAGAGTGCCACACTGCTGTCACTGCCTGTTAATAGCACTGGCAGTCATGACAGTAAAAGCCAGTGGTCTTTATTGCTTTGTATTTGACGGATTTACTGCATTTCCTTTCACCCAAGAAGCAAGTGATAATGATAATGTATGGCAGAGAGCTTGTCCTTCCTGACAGCCTTGGTAATTTAATCCTTCTCTCCTGCCATAACATGCAATAAAAGAGGTATCTAGTGTATTGGGTTGAGGAAATCCACAGGCTGACGTTTGCTGGTGTTTAGGTGGGGGCAATGGTAGAGAAATGTGGAGGAAGAAAGTGTCTTTTTAGAAGGTGAAGTCTGTCTTTGGTTTTTAAAGGTATATGTTGGCACGCAGGAATGTGGCTAAACTTAGCTGAAATATCAGATTATAACTGATCGAAAGTCCCAAAGGAAGAGGTAGATGAACACATGAAACTGTAAGTGGGTGTCTGCACTTTGGGAAAATGATATCTCAGAGTGTGAAGACTCCAATTTTCATCCTGAAAATTTTTTCTCAGCTCAGCAGCCTTTCAGCCATACCTTAGTTTCTGGAGATATTTGTTTTTCAGATGGCATTTTGGAGGTAAAGTCTCCCCTGTGACCAGACCTTAATTTACAGATTATCCTTGATCACAAGTACACTAAAGGTGAAGGATACCATGATGACTCTAAAGCCAGGCTCCACTGAGAGCAAACATATTTTATACTGAGAATCTGTCCCTGGACAGTCTCAAATTATGATACTATCAACTCATTTAGTCGTTTGGCTCAGTTGAGCAAATGTTAACTGAGCGCCAAATATGTGTCAGGTGCCTAGTTAGGCATTCAGGGTGGGAGACATAAAAGTGTCTGGGTAGGAGTGGGTTAGTGGTTTAAGAGCCGAACCAAGGCCAAACAGCAATTCTTAGCTTATTGCTCCTTGTGTGAAGCCATGTTATTAGTAAATGTGACTAATTATACGGATTACTGAGATTTCCAGGAATCAAAAAAGACAAAGGTTCAGAGTGTCTTACTTATCAATGTTACAGTCTTGCTAATGGATGAGTTTCAATAACATTGAGAGTGTACCTCATTTTGGCCATCAGAACTAGCTAAATGGGAATTTTTAAATTTTTGCCCATAATCATCAATTTAAGATACTATGGTAGACCCCTTTTTGACTTCAGAGTTCTAAAGCTTTTAAGCCATAATGGCCTCCATTGTTTCTTTTGTGATATTTTTTTTGGGTAATTTCCCCCCAGATTCATTGAGTTATAATTGACATATAACACTATTAATTACTTTTAGGTGTACAACATAATGATGTATGTATGTGTTGCAAAATGATCACCACAGTAAGTTTAGTTACATCCATCACCTCATAGTTACAACTTTTTTTCCTTGTATAATGAGAACTTTAAAGATCTATTCTCTTAGCAACTTTCAAATATACAAACCTGTATTGTTAACTAGAGTGGCCTATCTTGATTGAAGTAAGAGTAACCTCAGTGATTTAAAAAACAGACTGACTTCTAAGTCCAGCATCCAAATAGGCTTTCAGTTAAACCAGAGCAGTTCTAGTGAATATCAATAGCTTGAATAAAACCTCTTTTAATGTAAACTGTACCTAACAAAAAATTTACCATTGTACCATTTTTTAAGCATATAGTTCGGTGGCATTAAGTACATTCACATTGTTGTGCCACCATCACCACCATCCATTTCCAGAACTTTTTCATCATAACAAACTGAAAATCTGTACCCAGTAAATACTAACTCCCCACTCCATCCACCTCCCAGTTCTGGTAACCACATTCTACTTTCTGTGTCTATAAATTTGACTACTCTGGGTATCTCATATAAGTGGAGCCATATAATATCTGTCCTTTTGTGTTTGGCTTATTTTGTTTAGCATAATGTATTCATGGTTCATCCATGGCAGATATCAAAATTTCATTCCTTTTTAAAGACTGAATAATGTTCCATTATATGCAGATACATGTATGTGTATATACATATATATATAGTTTATCCATTTATCTGTTGATGGACATTTGGGTTGTTTCCCCATTTTTGGCTATGGTGGATAATGCTGCTATGAACATGGATGTACAAACATCTGTCAGAGTGCTTGCTTTCAATTCTTTTGGGTATATATCCAGAAGAACTGCTGTAGCATATGTACATATATATATATATATTCATATATCTAACCTTTTTTAAAACAATTTTACCACTGAAATTGTAGAAAAATGGTATATTTGGGACACCTTCTGCTTTTGTTTCATCCAGTTGGCCAGCAGACTGTATTTTCTATTCTCTTAACAAAGATAAAAATAGTGACAGCCACCATTTATTCACATATGTTAAGAACCATGCTGACCAACACTTTTACAAATGACTAAACAGACCCAGAAAAGGTATATTTGCCCAAGGTCACTTAGAAAGTGGCAGAGCCAGAATTTGAATCCAGCAATGTCTGCCTCCAGAGCCTGCCTTCTTAACCTCCATGCTGTAACTTTTCTTTCTTCTTTATGAGGCCAAGACTTTTCCTGCTGTTTAAGCTGCAACCATGCTAACACAGACTGGACTGTGAGAAAGAGGTTCCATAACTGTATCAAGGGAAGCCACCCCAGTCTCCTCTCATCTTTCACAATGAGGTATTGCTGAGATACACCTGTCTAGGTACCTTAAACAACTCTTATCTGCTTCCATATCTTAGCTTTGGTAAATAATGCTGCAATAAACATAGGGCTGCATATATCTTTCTGAATAAGGGATTTTGTTTTCTTTGGGTAAATTCCTAAAGTGGAATTACTGGGTTGTATGATATTTTTATTTTAATTTTTCTGAGGAATCTCCATACTGCTTTTCACAGTGGCTGCACCAATTTACATTCCCACCAACAGTGTAGGAGGGTTCCCATTTCTCCATATCCTCTCCAACACTTGTTATTTCTTGTTTTTTGGATAGTGGCCATTCTAACTGGTGTGAGGTGAGCTCACTGTGGTTTTTATTTGCATTTCCCTAATGGTTAGTGATGTGGAGTACCTTTGCATGTGCTTGTGGGACATCTGTATTTCTTCTTTGGAGAAGTGTCTGTTCATGTCCTCTGCCCATTTTTTAATTGGACTACTTGTTTTTATGTGTGAATCCTTTATATATTTTAGATGGTGCATATGTACACTGGAATATTAGCCATAAAAAGAAAGAAATCTGTTATTGGCTATGACATGGATGGAACTAGAGGGTATTATGCTAAGTGATATAAGCCAGGTGGAGAAAGACAAATACCATATTATTTCACTTATTTGAAGAATCTAGAAACAAAATAAAACAAAATGAGAACAAAATAGCAGTAGACTCATAGACAGTGAGAAGTGACTGGTGGTTACCACGGGGGATGCACTGGGGTGGGTGGGGACAGTGAGGAGATTAAAAGGGCACAAAAATCTCAATCATAATATAAGGTGGTCATGAGGTTGGTAGTAAGGCATGGAGAATATAGCCAATGGTTCTGTAATATCTTTCTATGTGGACAGATAGTAACTGCATTAGTTGGAGTAAAGATTGAATACTATAACTGTTGGACCACTATGTTGTATACTTGAAACCAATATGAGATTGTATATCAACTATACTTCAATTGAAAAAAAAAAAAGGAAATATCTCAAATAAAACAAAACAAAAAAAACACAACTCTCTTGGTTGGATACTTTTTAAAATTCCTTTTCTGAAAAAAATCAAGCTACCTACCAATAAACTTAGTTCTCCAAAGGCACACCAAGTTAGAACTAGTGCTCTCCTGCTTACACAAGCAAGGCCTAGACTGTGCCATCTTAATCTAGCCCTGTGGTTTTTAGTTATTAATGTACATCAGAATCCCATGGTGGACTTGTTAAAATGCAGATTACTGAGCTCACCCCACCAGCCCTGGTTCTGATTCAGTAGGTCTGGGGTAGGGCCTAAGATTCTGCATTTCCAGTATCTTCGCAGCTGCTACTGTTGCTGGCCAGGACAGCACACATTCAAAACTACTGTCTAGCCCAACATTCCTTTGTTCAAATTTTGAATAGGATCAGGAACCACTGAACATTTTTGTGTTGAACAGGTGGGAAATAGAGACACTTTGGCCACTTCTAATTAGGTCAGTAATTCTAAGGACATCCATTTGGTGTTCTGAAACTAGACAGTTAAAAAAAACTATAATATCAAAACTTTAGAAAGTTTTTTATTCCTTAAATTCCTTTAAAAAGCAATTCTGGTGATTATGAAGCTATTTGCCTTTCATTCCCACCAGAAATCACATTTGTTTAGGACTTGATAGATTTTGACATAAACCTACTGAAAGCATATGTCTCAAAAAAGATACAAACCAGTAGTCCAAATTACTTGAGTTGATCTCGAATTGTCTATCATTAAAAACATATCTCCTACTTCTGTAGGTTGGAGAAATCCTTATCTTCTTTATCAGTGCCTTTTGGCAGAAGTAAGAAATACACCTGGTTTGATTATAAAAGGGTTGATAACCTTGAATCTCAGATAAATTGTGTTTCTCTGTAATCCTTATCTTTGCCAAGTTTCTCTTCCCATTAGTAACAAAATCTAAAGCTCTACATCCTTTTCATCTTCTGAATTAAACTTTAATTGTTCCCAAAGATAGACTGTTCAATGCTTAGAGACTAAGGGCAGGATCTGTGCAAGTCTCATAAAAACTTTGGACGATTTCATTAATCTTTTTTCTTCCCATTGTCAATTCCCTAGAAGGCT